GATCTCTTGTATTGTATTGTATCCTTTCCGTTTACTCTTGCTACTGTCTCCAATGTTCGGATCTCTATTTTTTCCACTGAAATCATTCGCTTCGTTGTTTTGTTTTCTCGCAGTTTCGTTAATCCGCGAATTGTTTTAGCCCCTTTTGAGTCGTTTACTGTAATTTCTGAGTACGAGCTTGCAATGTTTGGTGCGATTCATGCAAATCTGTTTACGATGTGGTTATAATCGCGATGTAGGGTTTTTGGATTCCTTTTGCATACAGTCTGATTTAGTATTCTCAGTTTTTGAGATTTTAGTTYAGCGAGWWTAAGTGGAATTGCATGTCAAAGTGAGCTACAGTAATGTAGTAATAGTATTGGGGATTGTTTGTGGTTTGAATTTGTTCTTGATTGGTGTACATTTCAGGGGACTACTGTTCGTGTTGAACTTGGTGATGGAACCACTGTGGCAAAGGCTGGTGATGCTCATATCATTGCTCGTGCCTTCCCGCATACTCTAGGCCAGCCTTTGGCTCACTTCCTCAGGGCTAATTCCAAAGTTCCTGATGCTAAGATCATTATCGAGCATCCACCGATTAGGTGCTCATTCGTCTGCGTATTTTGTTCTCTGTAATTCTTAGCTCTGCTTTTATGCTGTTGGTTCGAGCAAGTTGTTTTCTGTTGTTAGGGTCGGAATTGTGTTKTCTGGAAGGCAAGCTCCTGGTGGTCACAATGTAATTTGGGGTCTTTACGAGGCTCTCAAAGTGCACAACGCGAAAAACACTTTGCTAGGATTTTTGGGTAAGTCCAGTTTTCTATTTGTTAATTTGTGTTCTTGTTTGTGTAACTTCATTGTTTGCTGTATCGATTTGTGTCTGCCCATTAATCAGAAACTTTTGTTACCTGTTAACAGGTGGTTCTGAAGGTCTGTTTGCCCAAAAGACCCTGGAGATCACTGATGATGTCCTCSAAACCTACAAAAACCAAGGTTGATTGTTTGATAAAGAKGTTGATAAGATCATTCATCATTTTATTTCTACTGCTTTCTGACAGATGCATTCAAATGTATGTCGGGTTAGGTGGTTTTGATTTGCTTGGACGAACTAAGGATCAGATTAGAACAACCGAACAGGTTAATGCTGCACTAAAAGCTTGCACAGATTTAAAATTGGATGGCCTTGTTATCATTGGAGGTACCTAGTGTTCTTATTTTGTTCGAGTGTTTACTATGGTGGCATCTAAAATTGTGTAAATTTGATTGTTGAAGTTTTCTAAATTAATAATTTCTATATGCTAGGTGTAACATCAAACACAGATGCAGCTCATCTTGCTGAATTTTTTGCTGAAGCAAAATGCCCAACAAAGGTCCTAGTTTTTTTCCCTTTGATCTTGATTCCTTATGAAATCTTTGCTGATACAGTTGCACCTCACAACTGAAGAATTCGTTTAATAGCATAGTTTTTACCAATATGTTATAGGTAGTTGGTGTTCCGGTCACTATTAATGGAGATCTCAAGAATCAGTTTGTGGAGGCAAACGTTGGTTTTGACACCATATGCAAGGTACCTAGCTTTTAATTTAGTTCTCTTTTTCGTTTGTCTTGTTTCTTTTACTTCATAGATATTGTAGACACTGTTATTGATTTTCTCTCGCCACTCTTTTATTTACAACAATGTTTTACTCCTATTAAGGCTAATATTATTCTTCCTTGTACAGGTGAATTCTCAGCTCATTAGCAATGTCTGCACCGATGCCCTTTCAGCAGAGAAGGTAAATGTTTTTACCGAACATTATCATGTTTTAGAGAGATAGATAGGGGCGCTCATTACCATTGAACTGTCTAGTTTAGCTGCAGCTTAGTCATATTTCATATTCAGATATTGATGTAGTTTTCTCTAAAGGATAATATGTTTTCTTCTCTTTTGCCAGTATTACTACTTCGTCCGTCTCATGGGTCGGAAGCATTCTCATGTTGCCCTTGAGTGTACCCTTCAGTCTCATCCGAACATGGTATACTTGCAATTTCTGAACGTATTCAATCCACTCTATTGGCATACTTTCTCTAGATTCTCATTTGTTTGTGATTATTTCAGGTGATACTGGGTGAGGAGGTTACGGCTTCCAAGCTCACAATTTTTGACATTGCAAAACAGATCTGTGATGCTGTTCAAGCAAGAGCAGAACAAGGTCTCATACTTATAACGAGTCTATGCAATGTTCGAAGTGATGTATTTTGCTTGTTCACTAAGTTGGTGATATACCATATATTTTTTTACTAGACAAAAATCATGGAGTCATCTTAATTCCTGAAGGGCTGGTAGAGAGTATTCCTGAACTCTTTGCTCTGCTGAAGGTAATGATTCAATACTACTCGTTGTGATTTCTATAAATCATTTGAAAAACTAATTTTCAGGTTTCTCGAGTACCAATTCTATAAGTACATGTCTTTGTTGATGTTGTGCGATGCAGGAAATTCATGGACTGCTTAAGGAGGGTGTGCAGGCTGATAAAATTTCTACTCAGCTGTCTCCTTGGTCGTCTGCTTTGTTTGAGTTTTTGCCACCATTCATGAAAAAACAGGTTCTAATATAATGGCATGAGACTTTTCTTTGTTTTTCTCACATGTAAACGAGTATGAATACTTATACAATGTCGTCTTTGTTGCTGCAGCTACTTCTCCATCCGGAGTCTGATGATTCTGCTCAGCTATCCCAGGTAAGAAGAATAAATATGTTGGAGCTTTTATGCCTTAAAATAATCGGAATCCCAGTACTGATTTTGATTTCTTCTCCAGATTGAGACAGAGAAACTTCTAGCTTATCTCGTGGAAACTGAAATGAACAAGCGTATGGTAAGCTGCATGTTTTTTCACTGATCACAAACATTTTTTATAAACTTGCCTAAACATTTTTTTTGCTAACAAAAAACATGCACCATGGTTTTTCACTGATCACAATCATTTTTTATAAACTTGCCTAAACATTCTAGTTGTTTATGATGTGTAAAATCAATCTCGCTTCTAACACTAAATTTTGAAATTGACAGAAAGTAGGGACATACAAAGGGAAGAAATTCAACGCTATCTGCCACTTTTTTGGTTACCAAGCTCGTGGATCTCTACCATCGAAATTCGATTGTGACTATGCCTACGTATGTGATCGCCAACTGCACTACAATGCTATTGCAACTTTAAATCTATTGGATATTCACAGTATTGATTGAAACATTCATGCAGGTTCTTGGGCATATATGTTACCACATCCTAGCAGCTGGTTTGAATGGTTACATGGCAACTGTGACTAACCTGAAGAGCCCTGTAAACAAGTGGAAATGTGGAGCTGCACCTTTTACAGTTGAGTTTTGTCTCCCTTTTTTTTTCTAAGATGAAGTTTGTTTAGTTTATATTCTCTCTTTTTTGACTACCTCCAAGTTTCAGTTTTACCAACCCAACTCTCTTTCTCTGTTAACCTTTAGGCCATGATGACTGTTAAGCGTTGGTCCCAAAATGCTGGTTCGACTTCAATTGGTAGACCTGTGATTCATCCAGCTACGGTGGACTTGAAAGGCAAAGCATACGAGTAAGTTGTTGGTTAACCCCTCATATACAACAGCAATAGAATGAATAAGACTCTTTTCTTTTTCTGATTTGTCAAATGATTTTGCAGTCTACTGAGACAAAACGCGCAGAAGTTCTTGATGGAAGATATGTACAGAAACCCAGGACCCCTTCAGTATGATGGTCCAGGTGCAGATGCCAAGGCGGTAAGTCTGTGTGTAGAAGACCAGGATTACATGGGGAGAATCAAGAAGCTGCAAGAGTATCTTGATCAGGTACCAAATTTGTTCCCGTTCTTTTTATCATGCCGCGGAATTGGCAAAGGCCAGTTATACTTATATCATTATGTGGGCTTCTTATTAATTGTCAGGTGAGGACGATAGTGAAACCAGGTTGCTCTCAAGATGTTTTGAAAGCGGCATTGAGTGTTATGGCTTCGGTGACTGATGTTCTCACCACAATCTCATCTTCTTCGACCAGCGGTCAACAGTTCGCTTAAACGATTTAATCATATCTCCCAACTTTTAAAAGTTTTAATTCTGTCGGTTTTCACAGACTCTTTCATTTCGAATTCGTCTTCTGACTGATGCAACTCTATATATTGTTCAAAGTTGAGTTTAGGAAAAGAAGAATCAAAGTTTTGCATTTGGGTATAATGCCAGATTTTACAGAGCAATGTGTGGTATCTTAATCGAAATCAATGTATTTCGTTCTTTAGTAACAGACCAAATTAACACTACCCAACAGATAATTCATAATTGGTATCTTTCAAAAGTCAATGTGGGGACAAATTATAAAATTATAAAATATAGTTTGGAAGCAAAATAAAAAAAGTAAAGGGTTTTTACAGAAGACCGCTCCAGTTTGAAATTCGAATAATCAATCCGTTATTGAAAGGAATCTATAATTTCAAAATTTTCAATCTCATTTTTTAATTAATTATATAACCGATCTACACTTTGTTTCCCCGTCTTTTTCATTTTCACTTTCCCAAATTTGAAGAAGAATTC